TATATTATATTATTTTACTCGAATGAAACCATCAAGTCATAGATCGTACATTAACGTTTATTGAACGTCACGAATGTCATCCGATTGATCCCCGCTCTCTCTCTCTCTCTCTCTCTCTCTCTCTCTCTCTCTCTCTCTCTCTCTCTCTCTCTCCATCTCCCTCTCTCTCTAGGTCCTGCTTGCCAAGTCATCGCGAATTTGCGTTGACAGATCGTATTGTCGTTACACCCGTAGCATTTTTTATTGGATACTCTGTCCGTTGTAATTTTTTGAATGTTATTTTAGGTGTGTGTTTAATATTATAATAAAATAAATAAGACCTGATATCATCAGTTATTTACCTTCAGACCGACTCTCACTCAGACCACATTAGTCTCGTGCCCGGTGCTATGTTACTCAAACCACTCTATATCAGCTTCTTAGTTTTGATGAACTTCACATGATCTATCATCAACACCGACGGTGGTATGCATCGAACTGGGTCGCGGTTTTAGGAAGTCTCAAGGCTTCCTTTTTCCTTAGTCTCTGCTAGGCGATAGTTAGTTCGATAGCCGCTGCCGTTTACCAGTAGAATAAGTGACCAATATCTAGGCAACGCAAGCCATGGTGCAGCTTGCAGGTAGTAAATTATCCGTCATATTGAAGCTGGTTTTCATCTCCAAGTTACGCGCTATCTGTCCGATCGGAGACTGAACAAGACAATAGTTCGAAAGCATCAAGCACCGATTCTATACAGAAACAAAAGAAATGTCTCCAAAACTACAAAGAAAATAATAAGTTCCATTTTACCAAGATCTAGTAAACACAAACGATGCATACTTTCTACAGCATACGCAAATATATAGAGCATAAAAAATAATCGTTTACTAGCTATTCATTTTTTAATTCGATTTTGTTTTGTTTTTCTATTACCAGAACTACCATGGCCACCGCTGAACGTTAAATTCACGGAGATCGATAGAAACTCTGTGACATTATGTTGGGAAAAACCCCTCAACGATGGGGGAGCTAAAGTGTTCGATTTTCGCGTAGAGGCTCGTGAGATTCACACGCGTAACTGGCGGGAAAAGGCGACGTCTCGATCATCGATAGCTACTGTATACAGCCTTAAACCTGGGACGTTAGTACAGTTTGTAATCGTCCCGAAATAACATCGATAATTTTCGCACAAATAAATACGTCGCCATAATAAGTACAGAAGCGTTGTATCATAAATGGCCCAACCCAGTTTGTTTGTGTCACATGATATATTATTTTATTATATAGCTAGTGATAACGGTTCATATCAATTCCTTTGCAGTACTTACGTGTTCCGCGTGTCTGCCCGCAATAAGTACGGGGAGGGTCAGGCCCAGGTTTCGGAGCCTGTGACAACGCGAGTCTGAACAAATGCAACTCGAACGAGTCAAGTGGTCACAGACATCGGGGAACCGGAAAAGTCCGAGGATGTCCATCGGATGGGACCATCGGCCTGATGAAGAATCGTTTGCAGTGCCACTGCAAGCCAATGTTTACACATAGCTCTTCAACCCTCATCGATCGGCTGAACTTTAACCACAGGATGCTATTTCTCATGAAGTAAATATACGAAATACTTTGTCTAAATGCTTGGGCCTATATTGAATTAAGCGCTGTTGCTAAGCCACCAACGTAGCCGTACTCAAAATTACTCTCTATCACTCTATTAAAATGCATTATGTAATAAGAAATACAAGCGCTTTTGCATTAATTAGAACAATTAAAATCTGTATTGTTTCAAAGCTATATTTAGCTTTTGCTTGAAGCTCTGCCGCGGTGATAGCTGTACCAACCAGGTAACAAACAGGTTCTCGTTGAAAAACCTTTATAATGATAGGCGCTGGCCAGGAAGATTCTATAACGACTATATCATTAGTCGACCACCGATTGGAAGCCATATTACGATATATATTAGGTAAGTTTACATAATAAGCCCATATCCCACGATGTACACAGAATGTCATGCTGTCATACTCAATTGAAGCCCTCATCTACAGCTGCTATTAGAGACACTATGCACCGAACATTTGTTGAGTGAAATTAATCAATGCCGATTTTTTTGTAGCTATTGACAGTGAACTTGTTCGAAACTGTAGTTTAACTTGATTTCCACGTTAACCTGACCGAATGTTCTCTGAACGCAGACGCAGCTAGTATGCCCGCCAGCAGCTTAGACGCTGTTCATGTTTTGTACATTTTTTTCCACATAAGCAAGACTTAGTTCACAGGGAGCTGTGGAAGGACATGCTTATTGTTATTATTGAAGACAAAAGCGATAATGCTCTTCTATCTGTTACGTGTCTTCTCATCGTGCGAACATTTCTGTCACTCAAGGTGATTTGACGAAATCTATTAAGCTGCTACAAAAAAATAAAGCCGTCGAGCGAAATAAATTTGTTTGATCCATTTATGATCTTTTCTATTATGCCAGATATGATATTATATTGCGTAACCTCATAGATTGTGTAATATCGTGTTATTATACAGGGTGGGACAGTGGTCACTTAACAACCTAATAGCCTTCCCCTTGCTATGTCGTTGCTCTTGTCTTCAACACCCCTTTGCTACCCAAACGGATGTTGTTTTTAAGAACTCGAGCTATTTTTGCCCCACTCTGTGTCATAGAAAGCTTATTAGCGATTCAGGTTATCGAGGCGAACATACGAACGGTGAACAACTTCGAATTCTTCGAAGACAAGCAGCGTTATCAAGGTGACTAGGAACCACCACAATACGGTACTTGGCATCTATCATACTATTATTAACTGGTATGATATAATACTGAATGTCAGGTACTGGAGAATGTAGCGTAGATTAAGTCTATACGCTACGTTATCATGCTATGTTAACAAGGACGAGGATAAAAGGAAAATTAAATAAATACTAGTATACAAATAATTAAATTACGTTTTTAATAACTAAATCTCGAGCAAGTTATATCAAAAAATTTATCGTAATTTTGATATCCGTCCGCAGAATCGGTGTTCACAGAGAAAATGCGATGAACGAGCCCCGGTTCTTCGTCGTTACCCACGATTATTCTCCGTGGAGCAGCTTATGTAGCCCATAAAAACGAGAACTTTCCCACATTAAACAAGACCTACACTAATTAAGGCCTACCGTTTCTTCGTAAAAGATGTAGGGCACGTATTGCATATTCTTGAAAGCATTCGAATTTCAAAAGCCTTCATGCGGTGGGCACGTAATACACGAAAGTAGAGTCCCTATGGTTGTTTTTCGTAGCTTACTTCACTAATCAGTTAATCTTCTAGTATATCACCATTTATACTAATGATTAGTAACAGTTGTTAGGTAGCAGTGGCCTCATATGCCGTAGTCTCCGTATGGGGTACTAAGGCAGTTAAAGTCACGGAGTGCTAAAATGAGCCTTCCATTAACGTAAGTTGTGTAGCGCTCGTGTGATTGATTTGAGACAATGAAGTTTCGTTACTACAAAGCTGCTCGTTTATTATGGCCAACGGTATGTCCACAAATTCGGCTTGATGGCTGGTCTTACAGGAAATAACAGTATTTCAGGTTGGATATTATTCTGGTAAGTGTATTTCTAACTCGATAGCCATTGCTGCTATGTAAACACTAGGTATGGTGTCCTATTGAAAGAAATTTTACCACGCTTAACATTAAGAGTCCTAACATTTGCCACTACTGTCATCCGCCGCCAGTAATAATTGATTTTGAGGTTAACGCTTAGAATGTATGAATCTATTCATTAGAATGTCACAGTTTCAGTATTTCGTAGGATAAAAGCTATATCTTGAATGAAAATTTCTTCTAAAGGGGCCAGATAGGTATTTTTTTTGAAAAGCTGATTTAAATATTTTTAAATGAAGGCTTCCTCTGTCTTAGGCATGTAAATAGATAGCTTATGACATTGCGAAAGCGGTCAAGATATGATCTCATATACGGTCTCGACAGGGTCAAACACATGATAGATTGTGGATCGCTTCGTAATTTCAATACAGTATATTTTTAGTGGAGCGTAATTAATCGATAGAGGTTTTGCAGGAGCAGATTTGCAGTTAAATCATCAGAACCCGATCTGAAGAACGGTCACGCCATCTTCGCGTGCAGTCTTAAGCATATGCATGCTCCAGATCTATGTGTATGATCCCGCATGACCCACAGTCAACCCCATGATTAAATAAAATTAGACATCACTTTCGAACATGTTGTCCTTCTGGGCATTTGGTCACGCCGTTCGACGGGTTAGAACTATACGCTAAACAATGACATGTAACACCACTACCTACACCTCGTATGTTGTCGGTCAGGTTATAAAGTATTTCAAGTTGTATGGTCAGAACTTTGAACACGCAAAATCTAATCTGGACAGTCCACTTCTCATAGAACACGTATTTCGTATAATTTATGAACCATCAAAATTGTAAAAACGTTGATTAGAGCAAAACTGTTCACCACTGAAAATGCTACCGACAAGATCTATATTTAAAGTGATCCCGTTAAATGCTATGATTTGGATTACAAAGCTCTCCGGTGTACACTTAAGTACTGCTTTCAAAAGAACGCGCACAGTGTCGACCAATGGCGTGAAACGATAGCAGGCTGGTACTAGATGTCATCAACTACAACAAGTATGAGTTTAAGTCGGCCTTCAGCCATAATATGAAAGGTTAAACTAGAAAACAGAAAAAGCGGCAGGCCTTGCGGAGAAAAACGAAAGACATTAAAGTGTTACCAGAGGATGTCGCATACGATTTATGCGTATCTAACTTTTTAACATTTTAATTGCGTTGGCTATCTGAAAAGCTAATTGAAAAAAGTAGGCCGTGAACCGTCACTGAGTCGACTCTTATCTGTGAGGTGAATAAATAGTCATCATGCCCAAGGATACCGCTGTCATTGTTGCCATGGGTCAGTTGGACATACGAGACAACCCACGTTGGTTGATTCGACCAATAAGGGGACATTCGAAAAGCCATAACTGCTGTCCCAAGCCATCGTACCAGAAGGGTCGATCGCTGAGCTGGAATTCAGCTTCAGAATGAGAGACCGGTCACGATAATTTGGCCCAACGTATAGCTTACCCAAAACAAATGTGTCAGCAGTTGACCTTGCAATCGGAGCGCACGGCGAATGTCCATCTGATCATTTGTGCCAAGAGAACCCCGCTATGGACACCCGCTGTCAGCTTAAGTGCAAACACGATAAGGACAATGAGCCATTGCCTAAAATTCACTTGTCAAGTATTAATTGGCACAGGGGGTGACCGTCGGGATCGATTTGAGGAGTTCCAGTCTGGTACATGTTAGCAGCTTCTCTATTTTGTGACTCGTTATCTATTTATTAAACATTATTTCGTTGATGTCGAGAAACCGTATAGAGAGTGCTAACTGTTCGGCAATTTAATTTCCAAGTGTGAATTCTATCTTGGATCTTTTAAGTCAATCGATCCAGCGTTAAATCCGGTTACTATGCAATAGACAATAAACATTCGAGATCCGTAACTTATTGGTAGCCCTGAATAGTCCGGCTGATATTACACTACCCTAATCGCACTGGAAAATGGACTTCTGCGTAATTGCAGCTGTTGCAGAAGATGGTATTGAACACATAATACGGCTAGAAGGATTTATCTGGATAAGAACAAAGTGAAATAAATATATTTAGAGCAAAAGTCAGACACCGTGTGAGTTATAAATACCAAAAGAAAATCATGGAAAACTTTACTGTCTAGAATATTAAATCTAGATAGATAATCTTAGAAGTAAAAGCAACTTCACAAATCTCGAAGTTCATTAAAGGGGAAAATAAAATATCTGACATTCGATTAAGATTGATTTTGAGTCGTCTAAGGTGCCATTTAGAAATAACATTTGACTAATGTTTACATGATGTCCACAACAAGCTTAGCCAACATGCCACTTCTGTCGTACCTTTGATGTTGAAAAGAAAATGAAAAAATGGACCGTGCCTTTCACGCCACCGTAACAGAATTCAAGCATGCATCCCTGAAACATCACGATAAGGTAGACCGGGCCAAACGATATGAGCAACTCTGTTCTAACAGAACATTCCCAAAAGACTAGAACGCCACAGTAGCTAACCGATTTCGAGGAATCCCATGCTATAACTCTCTCCAAATCTGGGCATATATTCATAGATGAGCAGCGGGACAACCGTGGCGAGAAATAGTGACAGGCCACAAAGGACGACATCTCCCATCAGGACAAGCTGTCCACTACAACACTCGTATATATATAACGAAGGGAGACGACTTTCAGATCTAGTATGCACACAGCACAAACTCACACATTATCCCCAAAGACCCAACTTTCTCCATAATACTCCTACCTACATAATACCTCCTAAATACATTTACGCGACTGAAGCCTCAAGTTAGATCATGACGAACTTATCTGTTTGCAGCTGACTACCATGTCACCTAACAACCAGACAAGTAGATACGGATCTTTCTCCTCCAATGAGTTCGCACTGTTTCCGTAGGCCTCAGAGAAATCGAAGAGGCTTGCACCATGGGCCGACACTGCGATATCCTAAAATATATTTCACTTAACTCGAATTCCGAGCAGAAGTTCATTCTCGTTCCACTATGTATCATATTGCCCTTATTGCTGCAACCGATATTCTTCATCTCTGAAATTAGTTGTCTTCAGGTGTTTTTCCTCAATGGCACAAGACAAAACGCAGTTAAAATAGGTTTCGATTCTCAACTTCAAATACGATATGGACAGAAAACCCATCAGTCGCGGTCACGTTAGTTCGTTTGCAGCAAAATGATCTTCGAAATTTGTGGTGTGCGAACGACCTCTATTACATTATTTAGTCTAGAAGTTCCGCTTAATTGTTACTGCTATTCCAGCAGTCTCTGCGGCACCACTGAACGCTGCGCCATTCTGTCTAGTATGCATGTTTCTGATAGCACGTGTAAAACATACTTCGCGAGTACATATAATAGAACACAGCGACGTATTGTACCAGTAGGAATATTTGTTTCTATTTTTATCTAAACTGTGTGAGTATACATCCGCAAGTCAGCATCCTCCGAAGTCAAAAGCGTAGCAACGGAATCGACTAACATTTTTAAATAGCACATCTTCCTGATATAAGGTAACATTTAGCGCACGAAAACAGATATGCACATATCCGTAACGTATATAGTCCTGCGATCACATACTTTCATTGTTCAGATAAATAAACGATCAAACTCAACACATTCGATCATGATGATTGCTGAACTTGATTTCAGATGTCCTGCAAAAAAGGAAAAAAAGGCGCAAGCTGTCGCCTTTTCATTGCTAGAAAAATGTATGCTCATGTTTGTACTGACAGAGATATATGAAACTCCTGAAATTCTTATTTTTGTAACAAGCTGTCCAGAATTTTTGGCCTGCGTTCAAGGAACTTTAAGGCTTATGTAGGTCAATGCTATGAAATAGATGTAAACTGCGTGAAATTACAACAATCTTTCGATAGTGTTTACCATGTGCGTCGTTCCTCCGAAATTCTCCCAAAGCAGGGCCTTATATACTGCACCATACAACATGTACCGACACAATACGATAATACGACTCGTGACTATTTCTAATGTTTGTCGTTATTTTTTTTTCATTGCTGAGGCCGCATTCAGCCCACACGGCCGAAGGTGGAACCATCCCATACACAGACCAGAGGCTTTTTCCGTTCTACCTATTAAAGAAACATCCAATTTGACCACGGGAAATCTCGCCAGTTAACTACAACACAAGATTCTTAAAGAAAAGGTTACTACAGCAGGCTACTTTTAGTATTCTAACGGAGATCAGCATTAGCGGATCGGCTACCAACCACGCCGGCCTTAGCACACAGAACCTGGCGCATGCACTAGCTACGCGCTGTACTAGTATTCTAACAAGGTTTAGCATAAAAGGATTTTTTGTCGATGGGATCATGGAGACAGGCGGGCTAAATCCAGCTGACCAAAGAGACCAGCACAAAAAGAATACATCTATTTAGTTCTTCATTCGCATGCCTCTCATTATATCCCCAGTGGCCTCTTTACAGCTCGTCTACCCCCTTTCCCCCTTTTACTGACACAGATTACAACGTGATATGACATTAATACTCATAATGGGCGTCGGCTAAAGGAGAGGGCAACAATACGACAGTTGCATTGAAGTAACGCTTTCTTTCATTCATTCCATCCGAGTTCCGAAAAATAGCGCGAATACCAAAATTCAGACAAAAATGTGTTTAGAAAGGCCGCAGATATAATTTATAATTTTGATTAGTCCTGACCACTTGTTCATAATTTCTTTTAGTATGGCCGTAGCGCGCAAGCACAGCCTATGACAGAGGCCTAAAATAACATGCATAAGAACGTACGTAGGGTGTTCTAAAAATTGTATATACTGATTTAATTGAACCACTATAGTATGACTGTACGGTGACTATGGTAATATCAATTAGTTGAATTTACTGCATAAGTCTCTTTCATTCTGTATCCAGGAAGACGCTGGCGAAAACGGTTCCTGACAGGACGGAGTACCGGTACACTATTAACCTGATCCAAGAGCAAACTTCCAAACAGATGGATTAAACGAAGAGGTCTTATGGAATACTTCGCCCGTTGCACGGAGCTGACGTCAACGGGAGTCAATTGAGGATACCTTAAAGACAGAGTTAGCAAAAAAAATGCCGACAATACCGCAGTCAGGTTTGTGAATCAGTAGTCAGTCATCATCAGTAGCATATTGACCAGGACGGAAAAAATTATATATTCTATGCAGATTCTGTAATTTCTTTCAATTAGTATATATTGATATTATGCCTCTATGTTATATAAATTTTATATAAAAAAAAACTAAAGTTATAATTCTTAATAAAGCAACGACCACCATCTGGTTGCTAGCAACTTCGAATAATGTCGTTATTATTTTAATTTAACATTAATATTTTTTTTGTTGTGATACTTTTGTTTGCTTAAATACAACCTCTTTAAGGTAGGTTCCTTTAGCGTTCTTCATGGCACATATTCGACTTATTCACCCAGATTTTAGTCACTTTTTCGCATTTCGGAAAACTATGTTCAGCAATAGGACACTTTTTTACGTGAGGAATACGTAAACGTTATCACCTGTGAGGAACCGCGGGTTTGTGGGCTATACACGAAAGAGGTTCACTTCTTAGGAAATCTACTGTGGTACGGTACGTAGGCTGAAATCAACAACGACGTGGTCTCAAGCCTTTTTGAATTCCGAATCGTTGAAAAAGGTTTGCAAGGCATAAGATTTCAGCAGGATGGCCTAACTTAATTGAGTTATTAAAAGATCATTCCGATGAACGGTTGATATCCAGGCGGGATGTCGTCAAATGTCCTTTCAGATTATCTAACTGTAATCTGTTCGACTTCTTATTATAAAATTAGTATCTAAAAAGCAAGCGGTACTACGACAATCCATGGATCGTGGAGAAACCCAAGGAAAATATCCGTACCGGCATTTCAGAAATTGCACTAGGTATGCGCGAAAAAGGCCGAACCTGGGTAAGGCGAATAACTGCCACAAAGAAGGCCAAGATAGTTTATCTTATTGACTTTGTATTTGAGTAAAACGTTTATATGAAGTTTTTATTAGAGAAAGATTTATGTAAGTCTATTTTTGTTTATTGTGTCCGTTCTTAAACCGGCCGCGTTTGTATATCCAATATTCTTCCAGAACGCGTCACTGTGATTCGGCAGGAAGTACGTGAATTTTAGGGATAGCTTCTCGATAGATAATAATTCAAAAAGCAACATAGACATTCAGTCCATCGCAACTGTTGCAGCCTATGTATCTGTTAAGAGACGGAATTGCTAAGCTAGCAAGCAATATAATTTGTCAGCTTTTTAGTGGGAAAAAATATGGTCATGCTATTTTTCTTCTACTGTATATGAACTGTTAAATTTTCCTGTGTAAAATATGAAGCTTCCAGTGTTCTCCAGTAAAATTGACAAGAGAAAGAAAAATGACATCTAGTGAGAGGAATAGATATAGGCAGACAGTAGAAAGAGAGAGGGAGAACCGTTTGTCAACCGCCGCTCGTTCCGCGCATCTCGAGAGTTTAAGGTTCGTGTCTTAGAAATCGTAAAGACTATCGACCCGTGCAGTGAAAATCTTAATGATGACTAATACTCTATACGAAAATAGTAAGAGACACCCGTCGTTAACGTGTGCACCCCAAGCTACAAGACAATACAGTTATGACAGGTATGTGCACATGATCATTTTGAGCGTGTACCTATCCTGACTGAAACAGGCCAACTGAAGCAAACATACATTTTGTAGCCATACCTGAAATCACCTTACTCTTGGGTCGTATCCATTGCGTCGGAGTATTGTTTAGCTTGAGGAAGTATCGCTCTTTCATCTATTTTACTTCTTGGCACCGGAAACAACCGCTACAGAAAATTCAGCTTGTTAACAGAATAGGTTTTCACAGTTTTTGCCAAGCAACATTACTCAAAAAAAAATGGGATAACGGTTGCGCTAGGTTGTTAAAATGTGCCCGTATATTCATTAACGAACGTAACACATTACTTAACATTTATAATATACTTGTTGAAACTGCAGTCTGTAAGTAAATATACTTTAGTAAGTTATTTTTCCGTTATATCTAAACGGTCATCGAATTGGATACTGTCTACATTCAAGCATTGTTGACAATTGAGTAATACTGAATCCATCCTGTCACCTCACAGAATAAATACTAATTAGATAGGATGAAGATTTATTAGTATCGACTAGCACGATTATAAAGTGAACCACCTACGCGACACGAGACAGCCGCAACAAGAAATCTGTTGACCCATAGAGACATAACCCTGCTGTTCAGCAAAGAGATGAAACAAGGAAGAAACGTATCAGCAAGGATCAGAGGTTAAGAGGTAAGCAGAGGACGTACTGATATTGTAGTGGGGCTGTGCAGTGGTATAACCAACTGTTTACGTTCCAGTTTCGTCAACCGAGAATGTGGTTCGATTAACCCATTTGCTGGAAACTGGTCCGCGAGTGAGTCTTTTCGTCTCTCTCGTAGTCGCACGCGGACGATTTTTCGAACGTTGACTTGAATTGTAAACGGGCAATACGAATCGACGTTTGTTCCTATTCTCTACTGATTATACTCATGCTTCTCCTAAGAGAAAAATTTGTAGTCGCACAATTTTCGCAAACTAAAACCGCCGTTTCAAGTGTTTAGAACGGGAAATGTGTTCTGATGCGCTTCGACAACGTTTTGTCAAACGATGAAAAATGACCAGAAATAAAATCATAGTTGGGGATTTTTAGTTAGTAATATTCTATATCAGCAACATATCATAACTGTTCACAAAAATTTTAAAAATTGAAATAAACCTGGTAAAATTAAAGCTTAAAGAAAAGAACAAGAACAATAATGCGTCTTTACGAAAGAAATTTACTGGTTGATACAGTATGTTACACATCGCACATATGTGTTTCTAAGTAACGTCACACGTAGCGATCTAGAGGTTAGAGCTTCTGCAATGTAATTTTTGTCATCTCCAGCACTATGTTTTATGACATAGTGCTATCATACTTTGCCCCGTTGAAAATAACACCGATATTTTTATTATGCAACCATAAGAGGTGGCCTAGCCCCATTAAAAATTGATGAAATCGGGCAGTTGCTGATTTGATCATTTTCTATAAGCCACAGAGCTTTGGCTTTACAGACTGGTGCATTCTCACGAATCTATAGGATTGACGCATTAAATTATAATTTTTCCTAATATTAATCATCTAAGCTCATGTAACAAGTTACTAGGCATATTAGCCCTAATTATAGATCGATCCGAGACTTGTAAAATACAAGTCCCAAAATAAGAAGATTAGAATCTCAAAAACGACATCTCACTTTGCTTGCCAGTATGCTCAACGGGTCAAATTGATCTAATGATTTAGAGCGTCTCCACAAATGATTAGCGTCATAGGACAGCACTTCGTTCCTGGGCCGATTTTGACCGATGAATAGATAGGCGCAACAATTAATGCTTACAAATTGAAATGTACATAATGAAATCGTCAAGGATATCTGAGAAGCCATTTATCAGATTTTCTTCTACGACTGTGCTCTAAAGCTTTTCTGTTCTATTTACAGATAATTCATCTTTTTGGCCAGCTCATCAATACCAATAGGTCAATCGTGTAATAAGCGCCAGCTCGTGACCAACCGTTGTGGATCATTTGCGTACGACTTCAAATATCCCGCGCCTCGAATTTGTCCCTTTCCTTAACGAATTCGTGTTTGTTGTGCAGTCTATCCTCTCTCCGCATGACTTCTCTCCTTCTTCTATTTGACTCTAATCTTGAGGAGGGTGGCGGTTGCGCTGTCTACCTGGTGCTGCTGATCGTCTTCCAGTTAATAGAAGCAGGCGATGGAAGCCCTGCACTGCGAAGATGTATTTTTTTTAACTCTAGTGAGTATTTATGAAGCAGCTGTGGGAGCCAGCGACTTCGGTGATATTGAGATTCGTGGCAGAATAGAAAATCTCGAGTGAAGTTTGTGACAGACAAACTTCGCGTCGTTATTTTTTCATTTGCTCTCGCTGTTCCATCTTCTGGGGTAGCCGAGTGCCAATAAGAGATTGACGGCTGAGTAGCGAATCTAATTGGAGGAAGTCACCGTGGATGTTATTGTTTCTACTAGTGTTCGATCAGGCGTTGATTTCATGTGCGAGACTATGTCTATGGCTAGCAGCTGTACTGAGACATACATATATACCAAATATGCGCTGATATGATTGTGTTTAGACGAACGGAAAAGTATGGTTATGAAGACAGGACCAAGTGAAGACGGGTTCGAAGTCTACACGCAATAAGTGAGTGGTCCTGGTCATCGCGACGCTGACCGCCCTCGATGTTTTGGGTGCACTTGAAACTTAGAACAGTTTAACCTACCGGGCACCTACTTTTTTCCTTTTGCTTCGTTTAGTGTACTCGTTGCGATATTCCATAGAGGCGACTCTGCTAGTAATACGTTCAGCGTATGTACCATAGAGTTTATTTTAGTAATAATGCAGTCAACTGTTCGTCCCGATGCGGTTTATTCTGTGGCCAATCACCCGATCACTCAGCATAAGAAGCGACTATTGAATGCTTTTTGTCTCGTTGCTGCTGCATGATGATGGCGACCTTTAAAATATATCGCTTTTGCAGACACTGTTGTCACAACTTAGAAGATGGCCGTTCTATACGAGGATATTGTAGATTCCTTTACGAGCTAAAGAACAGCGGCATTAGTTAGGTGAGGCGTTAGCTTCTTGCAGCTATAGACACACTGAATTCCTTGCTTTTTGTTTAAACATTTACATTGTAAAGTGGGATGATCATCAGCGGTTGAATCTTTTAAGAAAACTAACGTTGGTAGTGGGGCCGAATGAGTCAGTTCATTACTTCAGTTGCGGCAGTGAGGTACGCACAAGACGCTGTCGGTCACCGCAGCGAACTGCGAATAGTTCTGAAGGTTTGCACAAAGATGAAGCTCCGGCGACGACCCTTCACATTCCTGAACGCCTATTAAGACCAAGGCATTAAAAGATAACAGTCTAGAGTCAGGCTTATCGATCGATTCTATCAGTTGACACATAATTGATTGCGATCTTTAACGTGGGTCTAAAAAACGTACATATAAATGAATAGAACCTTCTCAGTGTGTTCCAGGAACAGCTGGAGAGTTTAGTTATAACAAGTGACTCGTTTTGCCGAGACACCACATATCTCTAGTTGGCTCGTTATACGCTACATAGCTGAAGAGAACTGAGCCATTATCATAAATTAAAACCTTAAATACTTACCTATTGTTGTTGACTGACGACTATATGAGTAAAATGTAATGAACATTAGCTTTTTGTCAGACGTTTCCGTCTATAAACTTTTTCGCGTGTACTGAAAGTGATAACGTGCATACTATTTGCTGTAATAGGTAAATTGCCACTGGCCCCCCTAATTCTTCGTCTACTGCTAACTATAAATTTGTCAACATAATATATCTATGTGTCCGATAAGTAGATCGATTCATTAATTCTATACCGTCTTGCCTATTTCACAATCATTAACCACTTATAAAAATGTGAAATAAAAAATTTGAGTTCGAAATATCTGCTTATGTGACGTCTCCAGCGATGAATAGCATGGCTTGGGATCTATGATGCGTAAATATTAGATGGGAGGAAATATTAGGACTTGAATGCACGTTGCTTATATGATGGATTGCTAATGGAAGTTAAATGCGGCGGAACTGTTAGTATCAGAAGCTGTGCTCACAGGAATGTTTACCAGGAAAGCTTACTTGATAATACCTACCAAGCTAAATTGAAGTGGACCTAGCTCACGTTCATATTTATTAATATAGTATATAATAAACTCAAATCAAGACAAATCATATGATTTCTGTGACCTTGAATACAATAATATAGAAGTACTAGATGCACCTACAAAGGCAATGTATCCAAATTCTACGACAGCCGCGACTTCGCTGCAATTAGCAACGATTTTTTGGTTCGAGGATAGGAAAAGACACGTTCGTGTAGTACTGAAGGCCAGCAGTCTGATACGGTGCTAGCCGTAACGCTCGAAATATTTAAATCAAACGCTATAATACTTATGTGATTTATTTATTATTATTTTTATATTAAAACATATTGCTACGTACACGCACAACCTGCATTTACTTCATTTTGAATATTTCTATCTGTGTAATACAATGAATTGGCAAAAGTGGACTCATAGCTCGCTCAGTTTGCATTATATTGTTTCAGAAGCTCGTTTTATAGACTGTCGGGAATATCACGTCCTCCAATCCCGAGCTCCAATCCATTCCTCATCAACAACTTCAGCCATATGTCGCTCTCACAATCCCCCAAATTGAGAACTCACTCGTATTAACAAACGAACCGTTGCCTAAGGACAAACAGCGGTCCACTTCGACGCCTTACAATGGCGTCATCGATTACAAGGATACAGACGTCAACATACGGGAAATTCGAAGACTTCCAGTATAAATATGTTCTATCGATTTGTGCAGCATCCATCGCCGAGACAGTTACGTACCCACTAGATATCGTAAAAACTCGCTTACAGATCCAAGGGGAGGATTTGGCCCGTGGGGTCAGTACTGCTAAACCCAAAGGATTCTTCAGCCTTGCAGTAGGTAAGTTAACCATATGTATATGTATGCATGTATATATGTATGTGTAAAACGTATACATAAATAATTCTAGTTTGTTCTCTCAAGCATCTGAGATATTCACAGGGTATCTGTTTGAAGACCAGATTTCTCGTCACCGCGTTGAATGAAAATTGTGGTGAGAAAAATGCATTTAGTGAACAACAGCTTACAGTTTCAATATTATTTACTTAGTATTATATGTTTTATTGAATGCTGGAAAATAAACATGTAGTCGAATTTAGCTACAATTTCTATTGATGTTTTTTCCCATCGCTTATCCCAGTGTAATCACCGAAGCAGAATAACAATGATATAGTGTATTCACTTAGCCCGAATTTCAATTGATGCAAAATTCAAATAGTGTATTTTAACTAAATACCTATCCGTTTCAATGTACACTTTGCCTGTTTTGCCATTTACAGGAATTGTTCGTAATGAGGGCGTTTTTAAACTTTGGCGCGGTATTCCTCCAGCCATTTACCGGCATTTTGTATACAGCGGATGTCGAATGACAATTTATGAGGGCGTGCGTGATGTCTACTTGTCTGATTCTGACCAGCCAAATCACGTGCTAAAAAGCCTCTGTGTGGGCGTGTTCGCTGGAGCGCTAGGTCAATTTTTGGCTAGCCCCGTCGATCTGGTTAAGGTGCGCATGCAGATGGAAGGTCGTCGGCTCCTGCAGGGTCTTCCCCCTCGAGTGACGAATACGTCGCAAGCTCTACGGAACATCCTACGCGAAGGTGGCATTTCCGGTCTGTGGAAAGGCTGGGCGCCTAACGTGTACAGGGCTGCCCTTGTCAATCTTGGGGACTTGACAACATATGACCGTGCTAAACGGCTAATCCTCGCCAACACAAACCTTGAAGATAATTACATAAGTCACTCGTTAGCTTCGGGGTGTTCGGGCTTTATTGCTGCTATCCTTGGTACCCCGGCCGACGTCATCCGGACTCGTGTCATGAACCAGCCGACGGATGGCAAGGGATATGGCACACTGTACAAGTCTTCGACAGACTGCCTCGTGAAGACGTTCAAAACGGAAGGCTTTTTCGCACTGTACAAAGGCTTTATTCCTATCTGGGCTCGAATGGCTCCTTGGTCATTCACATTCTGGGTCTCTTATGAAGAGCTGAGACGACTAGCCGGAGTTAAAAGTTTCTAGGCGTAGAGGAAATTATGAATGAAGAACGAAAAGAAGCAATATCCAGCTATAGGGTAACACAAAATAAAATCAGGTGGCCAGTGTTGTGTCTTGTCGGTCGAATGATGGAAACAGGCTCAAACTTCTTGTGATTTTTTCGATGACTTCTTTGCGCATCCGTCAGTTACTGTGGTTAAGATATGTTTTTTCATTGAAGAGCACATCCCATTAATATGGCCGCTGTTGATGGCTATCGAGAAAAGCCAAAACATCTTGTTTCGAATAAATCACACACGCGTCAAGAAGCAGCGCAGAAGAAAAGCAATGCATTAATTATGGTTGTCGAGTTGTGCATGTAGAATGTGTCAAAGTACATAAGAATTGGCATTATGCCATTTATCATTAATAGCAAAGCGTGCAATAAACGATTTTACCCTCATTTATAAATTTGTTTGTTTAACATATTACCAACAGCGAGACGTAACTTGAACAAACTTCACCACAGAGTCTGTGATGAACAAGCTGCAGCGTGTGGGCAGGAACACATGGCCGAACGTTTGAGCAAATTAAAAGCAAGTTAAAGGAAACAATTGAAATTACGATAAAAAACATTTAATAAAATCATCTTAT